CACATCTGTAATCCCAGCACTTTGGGAGGCTGAGACAGGTGGATCATGTGAGGTCAGAAGTTTGAGACCACCCTGGCCAACATGGCGAAACCCAGTCTCTACTAAAAATACAAAAATTAGCTGGGAATGGTGGCAGGTGCCTGTAATCCCAGCTACATGGGAGGCTGAGGCAGGAGAATCACTTGAACCTGGGAGGTGGAGGTTGCAGTGAGCGAGATCACACCACTGCACTCTAGCCTGGGTGACAAGAGCGAAACTCCATCTCAAAAAAAAAAAAAAAAAAATCAGAAGCATTGTCAGACACCAACAACATCCAAGCTGAGAGCCAAATCAAGAATGCAATCCCATTTACAATACTCACAAAAAGAATAAAATACCTAGAAATAAAGCTAACCAGGGAGGTGAAAGATCTGTAAAATGAGAATCATAAAACAGTGCTCAAAGAAATCAGAGATGACACATACAAATGGAAAAACATTCCATATTCATGGGCAGGAATAATCAATATTGTTAAAATGGCCATAATGCCCAAAGCAACTTATAGATTCAATGCTATTTCTATCAAACTACCAATGACATTCTTCATATAATTAGGAAAATATATTTCAAATTTCATATGGAACCAAAAAAGAGCCTAAATAGCCAAGGCAATCCTAAGTGAAAAGAACAAAGCAGGAAGCACCATGTTACCTGACTTCAAACTATAATACAGGGCTACAGTAACCAAACAGCATGGTACTAGTACAGAAACAGACACATAGACCAGTGGAAAAGAAGAGAAATCCCTACAACTATCTAATAGTCAACAAAGTTAACAAGAACAAGCAATGAGGACACGACTGCCTATTGAATAAATGGTGTTGGGAAAACTGGCTAGCTATATCCAAAAGATTGGAACTGGATCCCTTCCTTATGCCATACACAAAAATCAACTCAAGATCAATTAAACACTTAAATGTAAAACCTAAAACCATAAAAATCCTGGAAGACAACCTAGGAAATACCATTCTGGACATAGGCTGTGACAGATTTCATGACAAAGGTACCAAAAGCAATTGCAACAAAAACAAAAATGGACAAATGGGAATTAATTAAACTGAAGAGTTTCTGCACAGCAAAAGAAACTATCAACAGAGTAAACAGACAACCTACAGAATGGGAGAAAATATTTGCAAATTATGCATCCAACAGAGGTCTAATATCCAGAATCTATACGAAACTTAAATCAACAAGCAATATCAAGAAACCCCCTTAAAAAGTGTGCAAAGGACATGAACATACATTTCAAAAGAAGACATACACATGACCAATGAGCATATGAAAAGGTGTTCCACAGCACTAATCATTAGAGAAATGCAAATCAAAACCACAATGAAATACCATCTCACACCAGTCAGAATGGTTATTAAACAATTATTAAAAGGTCAAAAAATAGCAGATGCTGGCAAGGTTGCAGAGAAAAGGCAACACTTATACACTGCTGGTAGGAATGTAAACTAGTTCAGCCATTGTGGAAAACAGTGTAGCGATTTCTCAAATAACTTTAAACAGAACTAACATTCAACCCAGAAGTACATTATTGAGTATATACTGGAAGCAATATGAATCATTCTGCCATAAAGACACATGCACATGTATATTCATCATAACACTATTCACAATAGCAAAGACATGGAATCTACCTAACTGCCCATCAATGGTAGACCAGATAAAGAAAATGTGGTGGCCAGGCACGGTGGGTCACGCCTGTAATCCCAGCACTTTGAGAGGTGGAGAAGGGCAGATTATGAGGTCAGGAGTTTGAGATCAGGCTGACCAACATGGTGAAACCCCATCTCTACTAAAAATACAAAAATTAGCCAGGCATGGTGGTACATGTCTGTAATCCCAGCAATTGAGAAGGCTGATACAGGAGAATCACTTGAACCGGGGAGGCAGAGGTTGCAGTGAGCCGACATCACACCACTGAACTTCAGGCTGGATGGCAGAGAGAGACTCCATCTCAGAAAAAGAAAAAGAAGGAAAACAAAAGAAAATGTGTTACATATACACCATGAAATGCTACACAGTCTGCAGTCATAAAAAAGAAAAAAATCATGTCCTTTGCAGCAACATAGATGGAACTAGAGGCATTAACCTAATCAAACTAATGAAGGAACACCACAAACAAACAAATACCATATGTTCTTGCTTATAAATGTATCTAAACGGTGCAACACATGGACACAAAGAGGGGAACAACAGACACTGGGGGCTGACTTGAGGGTGGTGGGTGGGAGAAGGGAGATCAAAGAAAATACCTATTGGTTACTATGCTTATTACCTTGGAGGTGAAATAATCTGCACTCCAAATCCCCATGGCACATAGTTTACCAATATAATAAACTTGCTCATATACCCCTAAACCTAAAATAAAAGTAAAAAAAAAAAAAAAGGAAATCAAATACTGCACATTTTCACTTTTAAGCAGGAGCTAAACCTCAGGTATTCACTGACATAAAGATGACAACACTTGCACCTGGGGACTACTAGAGGTAGGGGTGGGGGAGGGCAGTAAGCATTAAACAATTTGCTATTGGGTCCTATGCCTACTACCTAGGAGATGGGATCATTCATACCCAAACCTTAGAATCATGCAACATACCCATATAACAAAAATGCACATGGACCATCAGATCTAAAATAAAAGTTGAAATTATAAAAACTAAAATAGTTTTAAACTACCATAGTAAGAGATTTAATTCAGAAAAAAGAGAATAAACATTTATATTCCACTTTACCCACAGGGAGAAACAAAAAATAATAATAATAAATAAAAAGAAAAGGAAAAAAAGAGAATAAACATTTATAAAGGGTTATACTCTGGAGAAGTCCAGTACCTTAAAAAATGAAATTTTTATATTCAGCATTACTGCAAACCATCTTAGAAAATGTACTGTTACAGCCTCAGGACCTTGTGAATATTAAAAGTGAAAGCAATTTGTCTGTCGTTCATACAAAACATTCTGTCCAGTTGTTTCCCCAAGTGATTTCCTGGAAACATCAATTCCACAGAATTTCTACAGAGAGTAGGCATTAAATGTGGGAGACTTTAAAATAGTAGTTTGAGGGCTCTAGCTTCAGAGAAGTTGAGGTCAAATCACCTTCTTGTGTGATCACCACTTACATGATCTTGAGTAAATTTCTTAATTACTTTATACCTCATAGAAAACTATGCTAGTTTTCTAACAGGTTAACTAGCAACAAAAAATGGTATTTACATCACAGGATTAACGCATGAAGTTCTTAAAGTACTGTCTAGCACGTGGTAAGCATTCGACAACGGGAGTTGCCTTCGTTGTTATTAGCATTACCTTCATGTTAAAAAAATACAATGGCCAAATATGTTTGGGATATTTGGGGTTAATAAAATAAAACATTTCTCTTCTGAAAAAATAAACAAATATAGTTTGAAACCATGTCACAGTCCATATTTCACAATTTGTTAAACATTTGCATCATACCTTAAACACAGTGACCTATTGGACAGACTAAAAATATTGAACCCTATCCAACTTGTTGAAAACCTGCAGTTCTTCATAGTCTAAATCCTCCCATATTTTTTAGCCATATGATAGCTAATTTGCACACTTCACATGTTTTGTTATTCTCAGCGAAGACCGATCTGGTCATAAAAATTTTATGAAATCTTCATGTGCTGTAACAGAGTTTAATTTTCATACATATTAGGATTCAGCTTGAACAAAGCATTGTGATATTTGGGCTTTATATTTACAAAGGCTATATGATGACTTATCTAGATTAAAATGGGCTTTAATATTTCCTGAGACTGCAGATGCAATCTATAGGGTAATTAAGAATCTGTGTTAGCAAGAGAGACAATATGTCATTCCTTTCATCTCTGAATCCATCCTGTTTTCCTAGATTTCACGTGTGGAGAACACCCACATATTCTTCTAGAGAGTTCCTTTATACATTATTATCTTACTTCCTAATGTTTATTTTAGTGAAGCTTATCATGGTCACTAAAAACTGCAATTAAAGAACTGCAAACAAATCTTCAATATGATCTTGGGAGGAAACAAGATATTTCACAATTGATTATAAAGCCCTAATCTGTCTTTTTGGGGGGATTGATTTAGGAATAGACATACTGTTGTTCCTCTTTTGACACAGAATAGAGTTTCAAGAAGTGATAAAAGGCACAAAAGCAAGAATTCGTCTGATGAGAGCATGTGGACAAAATTCTCTAGATCCACAAATAATATTTAGAAAGCTGTCACCCCTAAGTCCAATCCAGAAGCAGTGTCTCACATATAGACTCTAGACCCAAAAATGAGCACATATAATCTTCATTCATGTCCCTCTCTATTTTTAAGGAGCTGCAAATACTTAGACTACATCAAATATTATTAATGTATGTCACCACAAATCCTCGGCACCTCCTTCTTATCTTGGAAGGATTTTCTCACTCATCTCACCTTTTCTTATACTTTGGTCCTCCTTCTCCACTGCTACTCCAAAGTGCACAGTTTCTCATAATACACTCAGGATATTTCCTGACTTCCTGGTGCTCGGAATTAGGAAGAAAATATATTTGTTCTGAATCCCTCTCTACTTTCTGCATTCATTCATGAAATTTTGTCCTTTCTTCTCAGGTTGGAAGTGAGAAAAAAAAAAAAAAAAAAAGAAGGCAAAAGGGGAGGCAGAAGTCCATGAACCCCATGCATTAACGATTTTATCCAGTTCGACATGGAAAAAAAGTGTTTCCTAAGAGAAATATATAATAGTAAATTATGAACTTTGAATTGTCTTTTTGAGAACTTTGGATTACTTTGAGAAGGTGGTAGTGAAAATCAAAATTCTAATTGTAAACTTAGAAATGCATGAAAGTCTTTTTTTAACAATAGAGTCTTATATGACTCTGTAGTCACAAAGTTTTGTGATGGCAAAGAACAGAAACACATAAGTTTAAGTCAGTGACAAAGCGTAAGATGTAATTCAATTATCTGAGAGATATTTTATTCATATATACCAGCAAACAAATAATATATTGTTACAGAATGAGATAATGCTTTAAATATTATTTTGTAGTCTTATTTTATAATTAAAAATATATTTCCATGTCAATAATTATAAATTTTTATCATTATAGACACTGTAAAATATTCTATTGCATGAATAAACCATATTAAAAATTCCTCTATTTCTGCTTCTACAGGCTCTTTTCAGATTTTCCTTATTGTAAGCACAGTGATAACATAATAAATAAGTTATATAATCCTGAACATTTATCTTTTTATTTTATTGGAAAATTGATGATTCGAAGATCAGGAGTATTTCTAAGCTTTTGTATATACAAATTGCCCTTCATGGAAGTTAGTAACAATTTATGCTCTCAACAGTAATGTATAAAAGTCCTATTTTCATAATTGACATACTTCTGAAATAAATTACTGTGTAAATACATGATTATCCATTATTTTTATCTCAAATGAGACTGAAGCATCACCATCCTTCTAAGCTCCTGTTCAAGCTGACATCCAGGAAATGTAAATTGCTTGGGTTTGCTCAAATATGGACGGATTGTGTTAAATATATGCCACCAAATTACTTCTAGAGATGTACACAATTCACAACACTCCATTGTTTGCAGCGTCCATTTGAATCTTGTCAATACTCAGACAATATTCAAAGAGTACGCCACTCTAAACTTACCCTTGCAAGATGCCTTGGAAGTGTCTGCTCTCAGCTGCAGCATACACTCCTCCTTTAATCTGCAGATTTTCTAAACTGGTTTTGGCATGAAATGTATCCTCATGTGTCAGGGATACCAGAATATTGTCATAGGAATTTTTGAAAACAAAAATAAAGGAACATAAAGGCCTAGAACAGTTTGCTAATACATATTTCACCTAGAAGCTGGGCATTAAAACACCATTCTTTGGCTCCCGTTAGACAAGGGGAAAGTTGATAGTCTGATAATTAAGTATGCCTGCATTTTCTTACTTTTAACACCCCTTATCTCAGAATTTCTACAGATCATTTTACCAGCAAACAAGAGTATCCCCAAGCATGTTTCTTTTTGTAAGATTTTCTTTCTTTAAATTTCTTCTCTTCAACTCTGGGATTTTCCCAGTTTGGATTTGCTGGTGAATTTCTGCCTTCTCTGTCACACTTGAGACCTTTCCCCAACACTGGAAAAATAAAATAGAAACTGAAAATGAACTTTGCACAAACGTCAGTACACAATAATAAGGAAACCAGGATAAGAGGGCAAGTTCAACATTTAATAAAGATAAAATTCCCCATAATGGTAATTCTTTGCATTTTTTCCCAGCAAAATAAGACTAATTACTAAAATAAGACCACACAGAACCAACACAATATTATGACCTTTTATGAATTGAGAAGTGAAATGTTAACACACAGAGTGCTCTGGTCACACGGAGAAAAGATTAAGGAACTGAAGTTGTCCTTGTTGTTTTTGTTAATTCCCCTACCTTATGAGGAAACATGGAGGCAAAGGAAGGTAGAAAAAGACAACCCCTAAGCCACAGGGTCTGGAATCTTTCTCTTAAAGGTCAAGATAACTTACAGTTAATTGTAGCTGTCTTAAAACCCTTCCACGGAGGACCCACCCAGATCTCTAGGTAATTACAGCCTCAGTGTAGAGATGGAGAAGCTAAAACTCTATTAAAATCACAGTCAGTCAGAAGCAGAATTGGTCACAGAACTCTGCTTTTATTTTCTCCATCCCAGATCACTGATAATTTTGGAGTCTGGAGTTTCTCTTCCTTGCAGAGAAAAAGAAGAAAGGAAAGAGGACCTACAGGAATATTTGTACCCCCCACCTAGAGTTTTTAACTTAAAAGAAGCCACAATCTCAGAGTGTGTGATTCAATGTATTTTCATAACTGGAAATACCTTTTCTAGTTTTCTCCTGTTGCTTGTGCTAATCCTTATGTTTTTTTCTCCACTCCAACTTTTGGCGGGGGGTGGGAATTGAAGGACTCACATTAGGTATGGAAAGAAACACATATGGGTTGAGATTTCCTAGAAAATATGTAATTTTAAAAATGTATTAAAGTCACTATTCATAATCTTCTCTCTCTCTCTCTCTCTCTCTCTCTCTCTCTCTCTCTCTCTCTCTCTCTCCCTCCCTCCCTCTTTGGGCCCCTCTCTCTCTGTCTTTCCCTCCTCTCTCTCCCCATCTGTCTCTCTCCTCTCTTTCTCTGTTTCTCTGTCTCCCTCTCTCTCATCTCTCTTTGTCTCTCTCCCTGTTTCTCTCTTCTTTCTGTCTCCATCTCTTTCTCTCTCTTTTTCCCTCTCTCTTGGTCTCTGTGTGTATGTGTCTTTCTCTCCTTGTTCTGTCTCTCTCTGTCTCCCTCTCTCTAGATCTCTCCCCCGTCTTCCTCTCTCTCATCTCTCTCTATTTCTCTCTCCTCTCTCTCTCCATCTCTCTTTGTATCACTTTCCTCCCTCAGTCTCACTCCTCTCTTTCTAAAAAAAAAAAATTTAAAAAGTCATTATTCATTGTTGTCAAAACCCTGCAAAATCTACCCTCTGCTAAGTTCTTCAAACTCATTTTCCTCTACTCTTATACTCTATATAGGTCTTTAATTCTTCAACACTCCAACCTCATTCCTGGTTTAGGTTTTTAAAGATCCTATTCTGTCTGCCTAGAGCACTCAGTTCCTAGTTGGTCACATGGCTGTCTCCTTCTTGTCATTTATATTTGGGCTCAAATGTTCTATTCTCAAAAAAACTTTATCTTTATCTTTCCTCTTCTGGTCAATTTATAATTTTCAGCAAGTTAAAATTATGACTATCATACTAATGCTAAATAAATTTTAGATTTTTTTCAGTCATTAATAAGGGAATCAGAAACATGGTTTTCCTTTTTCTAAGGAAAACTTAAGGAACAGATGTTTATATATCATTCAGGAAGGGTATACTGAAATAAATTTGCTATATTAGAGATAAAACTAGTTTTATCCTATAAGACAATAAAGCCATACAATCGGACACGATCTTTTCTGCTAGAAAGAACCAATTGGTATTTCTATTGGACAATAATCCTCACGTTAACATGTAAGTTTTCAGAGTCTGGACCCTAATCACTAGTAAATACTAAGAGAAGCAATGACACATTAATACATCACTAAAGAATTAAATAACTCTTAGTGCTGATAGACAGCACTCCAATATGGTATTAAAGGGATATGCAGTAAAGTTTGTATAAGTTTTCTTGAGAAAAGGTAAAGAAGGCTCTTACATCCTTGACACTATGCTTCATATCACCTTCTTTTGTTTCTTGGTTACTGCACCAATTACTATGAGAAATTATCTCATTCTTTTTTGTTTGATTTCTTTATTGCTTGCCTCTTCACTATGAGTTATCCAAGAGCAGAGTATTTGTCTTTCTTATCCTATATCCTGAGCCCTCAAAACAATTCCTGGCATGTGGTAGGTGCTTAACAAGGGTTTGTTGGAGGATAGGGGGTCCAATAATGTTTTAGTGAGAGGGGAGAATGCATAAAAATTAGAAGGCAGTAGAAACTGAGTATTTGGTTGAGAAGAGAAAGCATGCACAAACAAAAAAAAAAACATAGAAATATAGACGGTAATACATAGTAATGCTGAATAATTGACACACTGTTTTAGAACTAATAATATACATACTGAGTGTTTTAGAGAACTGTCCAGATGCTAACTTCCATAGGAAAATATTGTAACTTCTAAATGTTGAAAATACACCAGAAATATTAATGGCTAAATTTGATAATAAATGAAGTTCTATAATGATAGAACCTCTATTAAATGTTAGAGGTATAAACTATGTTTCAAAATATGTGTTACAAAATTTATATTGTGGTGTGTATGTTTATTTTAAGAGGAAATTTAAGTGAAAATCTGAATAGAAACTTGAAATTTACTTAAAGCAAAACATTTGTTGAGTTCACACATTGTTTAAGGCAGACTGTATTATGATAGTTTATGACATCTAGTCTGTTTTTCATAAAACTCCCTTGGCCTAGTCTGATGAGCAGCAGGTAAGCTTTAGCCTGAAAAAAAGTATTTATATACTTGAAAAAAAGCATGAGGTTCCCTACGGTGGGGGTGGGGGAAATGATTTAGCATGCCCTTTTCCTATTATTTTTGTCTCAGTTGTTATTTTATTCTCTGAGTTTGGCTCTTACCACCCCAGAAATTAACTTGTAGATACCTGAAAACAGACTGGGGAGAAATAGGGGAAACTTGATAGATGTGTAATTCGTTAAGAAGTATTTCCAGCCTTCCCTACAAAACAGAAGTAAACAAAAAGGGAGAAAATATTAGATTGATAAGTAGATTTAAAGCTGAATGGATCAATAAAAAGTCAACAAATGTCATCCAATTCAAAGTGCTTAACAAGTTAAAATTGTGTGTGTGTATGTGTATAAAAATAAAGGTAAAGCTTAAGTTACTTACATTCCTGCTTAGTTTTACAATCCTTAAAACCTAAGATAAATATTCTTAACTCATCTGGAATTGTGTGGTTGGCATTGGATTTGCAGGGAGAAGAATAACAAATACAGTGGAAAGCTGCTGCCACAACAGAAGAACACGCATCTCTTTCCATGTGATCAAGATTTTTTTTTCTAATTTAGAAGATAGTCAGTATTCAGCTTTTCTAGTAAATTGTTATTTCCAATATGAATAAGGCAGAGAAATTCCCAAGCCCTCTAGTAATTATTCGTTTTATGGTGTTTATTCACTGACACTACAATTTCATGAATAATAGGGGTTGGGTTTATTTGAGAAACTAAAAAGATTTTTAAAGGATCTTACAATCTTCAGCAAACAAAAAAAAGCAAGTTGCAGATAAACTGCAGCAGTATGATTTTTATGTAAAATTTGAAGATATGCAAAAGTAAACATTATTCTTAAGCAATACTCACAAACTTCATAAAATTGCTAAGAAAAACAAGACAATGATATCACAAAATTCAGAATAACTGAGATCTTCTGGATAGAAAGGGCAGTATAATTATGGAAGGGAAACAGGGAGCGTCAAACATATTGAAAGTGTTCTATTTCTTAAGCTGATTGGTGTGGGGATGAACTTTATGTATATTATGCTTTACATTATATACATTATATGATAAAATAATTCATAGTTTTAAAAGTGCCTTATATTTCTGTTTCTAGTGTTATCATTATATACATTATATGATAAAATAATTCATAGTTTTTAAAGTGCCTTATATTTCTGTTTCTAGTGTTATCATAGTAGATTAAAAGTCCTAAAATTCTTCATCTATAAAGTTAGAAATGCCATGTAGTTTAGACTTAAACCAATGAACTGGTGAGAGTGGCAGGAGGCAGCCAAATGCCTAGGCAGATAGGGTGGGTCCCCAGTGAAACCCCACCTCCAAGCCAAAGGCAGTTTAAAGCTGGAAAGCCAAGCCACAGGTTAAATCCTTGACTGGATTGAGAACTTGTCTTCCTATTTGACATGCTTTCCTCTGATTGGTCCCCACCCTTCACCTATTTTACATATACATACCCTCTCCTAATTGGTTCTCTATACTGTCATGCCCATCTTTGAGGGGTGTCTTCCCCTTAACCTTTTTTATATACTCACAAACCAATCAGCATGCAGTCCCCATTTGGAGTCCATAAGAGGCCCCAGACCCAACCACACGTGAGAACTTTCCCGCCTTCGGGTAGGGGAACCACCCCGCACGCCCCATCCCCTGTTTGCTGATAGCTTTCCTTTCACTTAATAAAATCCGCTTCAATCACTCTCTGGTGTCTGTGTGCCTAATTCTTCTGGTTATGAGACAAGAAACTGGACCTAGCTGAGCTAAGGAAGAGAAAGACCACAACATTAAATTTCAGGGTATCCACTATTGTCAAGAGCAAAAACAAACAAACAACAACAACAACAAAAGCAGAAAACCTCAGAAGGTATGAGAAAACAGTATGTAACATAGCATGAGGGCATCTGTGGGATTCATGCATGTGGCCTGAAGCCTCAGGCACCGATGCAGGGCAAGATAAAAGATCTGAACCACCCCAAATAAAGCTACAACTTTGCTGCCTATATAACAGGATGGCCTACAACTACAAGAAAACCCTTTTAGCAATGGTAGATTAAAAAAAAAAAACCTGTCTAATCTCTATGTTTTAGCCAACAGAAAATACCCCTGGAATTTAGCAAGGACAAACTAGCTCATTCAAGACTGAATTCACACATGTGTTATCCCAAAATGCCCCAAGAAGAAACCATATTAAGGAGAGGATGATGATGAACTGTCACCAGCACCATAGCAGCAGGAAATGTTGATTCTCTCTCAACCCAGTCATCACAAAATTCTTATTTAGAATTTTAAAAATTTAGATTACATAATTACTAACACACATGCTGTCTCTCTCTCTCTCTGTCTCACACACACACACACAGAGAGAGAGAGAGAGAGAGAGAGAGAGAGAGAGAGAGAGAGAGAGAGAGAGAGAGAAATAAGAGTCAGCAATCACAGCACAACAAAAGTAGATATACATCATAATGAAATTACTAAACACTGGGACAAAATGACAATCATAAAAGCTTCCAAAGAAAGGAAAAAAAAAATAGCCACGAAATACAAAAATCATGACTCAGGCTTCTCAGTAGCAACATGAATGCTAAGAAATTTTAAGGAAGGTTTTCAAAATTCAAAAGAAAAATTCTACAGACTTCTACACAAGCAATCCATTTCAGCCTGTAGGAAAACATTCTCAGACATGCACATCTCAAAAAGTGTACCTCTTTGCTCACTTTTCTTGACAACTTTTGGAAAATGTATTCCACTGAAAAGAAGAAATCAGCAAATAAATTAGTCCTGGTATAAAGTTGAATCGATTAAACAGAGGAGCCTGAGAAGGGGAATTGCAGGGATGCTGCAGAAGAAAGATTCCCAGATGGCAACTGTGAACCTGATAGAAAGAGCACCCGGGGTGGTTTTGAGTAGGTTCGATGGCTCTGGGAGGGACTTCTGTGAAAGGTGAAACCAGAAGAATGCCAGGCACATCTGACATCTTAAGAAGAGAGGTAAAGGCCGGGCATCGTGGCTCACGCCTGTAATCCCAGCACTTGGGAGGTCAAGGTGGGCAGATCATGAGGTCAAGAGATCAAGACCATCCTGGCTAACATGGTGAAACCCCATCTCTATTAAAAATACAAAAATTAGCTGGGCTTGATGACACATACCTGTAATCCCAGCTATTTGAGAGGCTGAGGCAGGAGAGGCACTTGAACATGGGAGGCGGAGATTGCAGGGAGCCGAGGTCGCACCACTCCACTCCAGTCTGGTGACAGAGTGAGACTCCATCTAAAAAAAAGAAAAAGAAAAAAAAAGAAGGAAGGTAGAAAACTGGCAAAGCATTTGGGACTGTATTAATTATAAGTACATGGAAAATACAGCAAATGAAAAGAAAGAAGGCAAGGAAACAAAAAGTTGTACAGAAAAAGGAATCAATCATGATTCTCCACCAGCCTCAATTGTGAATGGGGCTCCCGTTAGGTCATAATGATGCAACTGCTATGATGGGATAGAAAATAATCCTTTGGGACTGAGAGATGACAGAGGGGCAACTGAATGTGAAGTCAAAAGATAATGCCTGAGAGTGAAAATAAAAAAGTTATGACCAAAGTATGTTATTTGTAGAAAACGCTATAATTACCGACCAAATAAATCACTTAAAAGAGGTGAAAATGCATGCAAAGACTGAAGATGCAGAGGCGATGGAGCTATACTGCTATTTTTTTAAACAAATGTCAGAGAGTTATGAGAATGCTTTCTAAGGAAATAAAATAAGTACCACATATGTAAATGTAAATTTTCTAGTAGCCATATTGAGGAAAAAGAAAAAAAAAGAAAGCTAGTGAAATTTAAAAAAAATTTTTTTTTTTTTGAGATGGAGTTTCACACTTGTCTCCCAGTCTGGAGCACAATGGCACCATCTCAGCTCACTGCAACCTCCACCTCCTGGGTTCAAGCAGTTCTCTTGCCTCAGCCTCCTGAGTAGCTGGAATTACAGGCACCTACAACCACGTCTGACTAATTTTTATATTTGTAATGGAGATGGGGTTTCACCATGTCGGCCAGGCTAGCCTCGAACTCCTGCCCTCAGGTGATTCACCTGCCTCAGCCGCTCAAAGTGCTGGGATTACAGGCATGAGCCACCACACCTGGTTGTGAAATTAATTTTAATATATTTTATTTAACCAAATATATCCATATATTTTACTTAACATAGTTTATTTAAGCGAATATGCCATCATTTTCAAAAGTATCATTATTAAAGATGATACATTTTACATTTTCTTGTACTAAATCTGAAATTCAGGGTGTATTTTATACTCGCAACACATCTCAATTAGGATTAGCCACATTTCAAGCACTCAGTAGCTACATAAGTCTAGGACTACCTTATTCAACAGTACAATTCTAAGCTATGTGCATTTATAACTGTGATAACTTTTTAAAAACTTTGTAAAGGAGCACTGGTGTTGATAGGTTGTCCACTTCATCCATGTATACATAAATGCACTAACGTCTTCAAACAGAGGACATTATATATGTGAAACGACCAGGGAAAAAGGAGCTTCCTTGAGCAAACTCTATGAAAAGTGAAATTGTAGATTATTCATTTATAATCTGAACATGGATCTCCTGTATGGACTACTCTTTATATATCTCATTTATTTTTACAACCTATTCCCTTTCCCTTATAAATGACAAAATGAATGCCAGACAAGTGGCTTGCCCAAATGTTTTAAGTTATTTATAATAAACTGCTAAGTTAGCATCACATCCAGGCTGTTTGGTACCACTGATCACAAGTTTCACCACAGTGCTCTGCATGGGACTATATCCGAATGTGTGGGCATAGTTCCACGAAGATAATAAAGGTTTTAGTAAGTATCGTGCTCACTGATCTGAATGTAATGCTCACTCATATAACAGTAAAAAGACAATCAACATGTTTCTACTTCCTAATGGCTAAGTAACTCAAACTCAAAATAAATATTTATTTGAGTAAAGTACCTTAGTTTTAGAGGATATGGCCATTTGAAATAAGGTTGAAATTGAAGGATTATATGTCTCAATAAACTCTCAATGTTTTTCAGGGGTTATACAGTTAGAAGGAGGTTTTTATAACTAATAAATTTAGTCCAAGAAGTAATTTAACTACATTGGTTATCTATTGCTATGTAACAAAATACCCCCCAAAACATGGTGGCTGAAAACCACCAACATTTATTATCTCATAGTTTATTGTGGGTCAGGAAACCACACACAGCTTGGCTTGGTGCCTTTGACTCAGGGTCTCCCATGAGGCCACAATATCATGTATCAAGGTGTTGGCCGGATCTGCAGCCATCTCAAGGCTCACCTGGGGAAGCCTCCACTTATAGGCCCAATCATGTGGCTGTTGGCCAGAGACATCAGCTCTTTTCTGCATGAGCCTCTTCACAGGACTCATGACATGCCAGCTTGCTTCCTCCAGAATGAGGGCTTGGGGGATAAGGATGGACAAACAAGACAAAATCACAATATTTTTTGTAACCTAATTTCAGAAGAGACATTCCATCACATTTGCTGTACTCTGTGCACTAGAAGAAAGTCACTAGATCCTGCCCATACTCAAAGAAAGATTACAAAAGAGCATGAAAACCTGGAGAAAGAGATGATCAGAGCCATTCCAGAGACTGCCAATCTCAATGACAAGCAATTTTACAATGTTTTAAGCTTGAAAAGATGCAGTTGGTTATTCTATCATTCATTCATTCAGCAGTATTTATTGTACACCTACTTTGTGCCATGCCCTGGAGATCTTGAGAACAAAGCAAATATTCTCATGGTCTTTATAAAACCTACAGTTTAGTGTCCTTAAAATTAAACACCAAAATGATTTTTAACACAAAGGATAAAGTGTTTTAAATGACATGAAAACTTATTACAGGAACTTTCTGTCTTACTGCTTTTTCTTAACTGTTGCTCTTATAAATCAAATACTGATGACTTTTCAAAAAAGACAAAAAATTACTCTGATCTTCCTACCTCATTATTCTGTGATAACCTTTGCTTGGATCTATAGACTTTCTAGCTCAGTGAGAGCCCATGTGATTTGCTCTAATTTCTGTGCTGACAATACAGTGTAAGGCCTACAGATTAGCAGTTTGAGCTCACCCAGCCGTGGAAAGAGATACTGCCAATGAATTTAGCTCTTTGTCCTTCTCAAGCCAAAAACTGACAGAAAAAAATTATAAGGTTGGGAGATCCTGCTCCTCTGGGTTGAAACTGGGGCGCCGCCAAGATGCCAGCTTACCACTCTTCTCTCATGGATCCTGACACCAAACTCATTGGAAACATGGCACCATTACCTATCAGAAGCCAATTCAAAGGACCTGCCCCCAGAGAGACGAAAGATACAGATATTGTGGATGAAGCCATCTATTACTTCAAGGCCAATGTCTTCTTCAAGAACTATGAAATTAAGAATGAAGCTAATAGGACCTTGATATATATAACTCTCTACATTTCTGAGTGTCTGAAGAAACTCCAAAAGTGCAATTCCAAAAGCCAAGGTGAGAAAGAAATGTATACACTGGGAATCACTGATTTTCCCATTCCTGGAGAGCCTGGTTTTCCACTTAATGCGATTTATGCCAAACCTGCAAACAAACAGGAAGATGAAGTGATGAGAGCCTATTTACAACAGCTAAGGCAAGAGACTGGACAGAGACTTTGTGAGAAAGTTTTTGACCCTCAGAATGATAAACCCAGCAAGTGGTGGACTTGCTTTGTGGAGAGACAGTTCATGAACAAGAGTCTTTCAGGACCTGGACAATGAAGGGAGCTCGGGCAGCCACCATCTCCAGATTCCTGGGCAGCATTTTCCAGCAAGATATACACAATCTTTTGCCTTTATTTCATAAAGTTTTATACAGAAGAGAGAAGAGTATATCTTTACTTGAGAAACTCTTGATCAAGAATTTGGGTAGGAGAAAAGAAAGTGTGTTATCAAGGGTGATTTGAAATTTTCTGCAGTATTAAGCTGGTGCTTAATAAGAATAAGTAATAATAAAGAAATTTCTAACCAAAAAAAAATTATAAGATTGGTAAGACCCCATTCAGATTCTATGACCAATGTTTGGTCCTCTAATGAAAAACTTGAGAAGTTTTTTTTTAACAAGAATTAAAACTAGGATGATTTCAAAATAAAAAACAAATAATCAGCGATTGAAGGATCCTGAAATTTTTATTTCTAGATTTTTTTAAGTTCTTTCTGTTTATCCTTATCAGACTCTCTCCTCAGTGAATATTTTATACAGTGCTGAGTGTCCATACTCTGGTCCATTTCTCAAAGATAGTGTACTTAAAGGGTTTTATTTTCTTCTTGAGATAATAGCATCTTCATATTTTTAAGTCGCCAATTTGAGTAGATACACCATAGCTACACACACACACACACACACACACACACACACACACACACACACACCACTCCTTGTTTACCCAATAAAAATTGCATTTTCTACATAAGTGCATTTAAATAATCTGAGTATTTCAAGGGGGCAGAAAAGAAAGGCTCAAATGCATCAAAACAGATTAAAGCAGATAGTTAAGCTCATTGAATAATACCAATGAATATATGTGATGCAAGTTTATGTTGCAAATCCCTTAGCTCAATTGCAGATACAACACTGATATACCTAACAGAAAGAAGTATATTATATACTTGTGATGTAAAGGTTTTATAAGAGCAAACTGACAAGACCCATGCATTTAGACCTTTTAAAATTTACTAAGACTCAAGAATCTGCCTGTCCCAGATTCTAGCAGTAACTTCGATTTTGAATGACTTAATAATCCCCTATTGTGTTGAAGCTCTGAAAGTTGCCCTCAGAATAACATACCTATCATTGCTCAGTCACTTTTACAGATTCTAGCCTAAGAACAACAATCTTTGCCACTTGAGCAATTTTAAATGTTTGTCTCACTTTAATAGAAAGTATACCTTAAGGATATATGCTCTTTTACTCAAATAAGTGAGACATTGACAATCTCATTATGGAGTTGTATTAATAGACCCAAAATGTAAGAATTCTATCTACTCTCATTTGTTAAAAATAAATATGATCTATAAAATAATTTCACTTGTTTCTTAAAATGAATGGTCAGATAATTCATTAATTCAAAAGCATTTGTAGCAAATGTTCATTCCAGAACAAAAACTTTTGAACCACAGAATATTCAACAGCAAAATAATGCAGAACTCTACAACCTCAAAAGATGGAGAACCCTTGGAGTTTATTTGGTCACAATCTGGGGATGGTGTATTGGCAAATATTTGTATACAGAACTAGAATTAAAGCCAGGATGATTTCAATAATTGCAAAATAAATGAATACATAATCAATGATTGCAGAAGCCTGCAAATTTTCTTTCTAGGATTCTATCTTTTATACAAATTCATAGGCTGTACAAAGATATATGTGCAAAGATATTTACTGCTATCTTCATTGCAAAATCAAAAAGCATATAAAAAGGTAAAAACTTGAAAGAGCTCTAAACCTCTCTTAGAATAGGCATGATTACAATGAGTGGTAAATTCTTGCTGTAGAATACTTTGCAACATGTACAGTATAATATTATGTTTGTACTGTTTGGCTTATACTATAGTCCTGAGGCTGCAAGTATTTATTTGAAAATAAGTAGTCTATGGCCAGAGCAATCAGGCAAGAAAAAGAAATGAAGGGCATTCAAATAGGAAAGGCGGAAGCCAAATTGTCTCTATTTGCAGACGACATGATAGTACACCTAGAAGACCCCATCACCTCAGCCCAAAAACTCCTGAAACTGATAAGCAACTTCAGCAAAGTCTCAGGATATAAAGTCAACGTGCAAAAATCACAAGCATACCTCTACACCAATAACAGACTTAAAGAAAGCCAAATCAAGAACGAACTGCCATTCACAATTGCTACAAAAAGAATAAAATATCTAGGAATACAACTCACAAAAAACGTAAGGGACCTCTTCAAGGAAAACTACAAAACACTGCTCAACGAAATCAGAGAGGACACAAACAGATGGAGAAACATTCCATGTTCATGGTTAGGAAGAATTAATATCGTGAAAATGGCTATATTGCCCAAAGTAATTTACAGAATTAACACTATCCCCATCAAGCTACCATTGACTTTCTTCACAGAACTGGAAAAAACCACCATGAACTTCATATGGAACCAAAAGAGAGCCTGCATAGCCAAGTCAATTCTAAGCAAAAAGAACACAGCGGGGGGCATCACACTACCGGATTTCAAACTATACTATAAGGCTACAGTAATCAAAACAGCATGGTACTGGTACCAAAACAGAGATATATACCAATGGAACAAAACAGAGGCATCAGAGGCAACACAACATATCTACAACCATACAATCTTTGATAAACCTGACAAAAACAAGCAACGGGGAAAGGATTCCCTGTTTAATAAATGGTGTTGGCAAAACTGGCTAGCCATGTGCAGAAAGCAGAAACTGGACCCCTTCCTGACACCTTACACTAAAATTAACTCCAGATGGATTAAAGACTTAAACATAAGACCTGGCACCATAAAAACCCTAGAAGAAAATCTAGGCAAAACCATCCAGGACATAGGAGTAGGCAAGGACTTCATGACCACAACACCAAAAGCATTGGCAACAAAAGCCAAAATAGACAAATGAGACCTAATGAAACTCCACAGCTTCTGCACGGCAAAAGAAACAGTCACTAGAGTGAATCGGCAACCAACAGAATGGGAAAAAATGTTTGCAGTTTACCCATCTGACAAAGGGCTGATATCCAGAATTTACAAAGAACTCAAACAGATTTACAGGAAAAAAACAAACAAGCCCATTCAAATATGGGTAAAGGATATGAACAGACACTTTACAAAAGAAGACATATATGAGGCCAACAATCATATGAAAAAATGCTCATCATCACTGGTCATTAGAGAGATACAAATCAAAACCACATTGAGATACCATCTCACGCCAGTTAGAATGGTGATTATTAAAAAATATGGAGACAACAGATGCTGGAGAGGATGTGGAGAAAAAGGAACACTTTTACACTGTTGGTGGGAGTGTAAATTAGTTCAACCATTGTGGAAGACCATGTGGCAATTCCTCAAGGTCTTAGAAATAGAAATTCCATTTGACCCAGCAATCCCATTACTGGGTATATATCCAAAGGACTATAAATCAGTCTACTATAAGGACACATGCACACGAATGTTCATTGCAGCACTGTTTACAATAGCAAAGACCTGGAACCAACCCAAATGCCCATTGATGGTAGACTGGATTGGGAAAATGTGGCACATATACACCATGGAATATTATGCAGCAATCAGAAATGATGAGTTTGTGCCGTTTGTAGGGACATGGATGAATCTGGAGAACATCATTCTCAGCAAACTGACACATGAACAGAAAATGAAATACCACATATTCTCACT